GTTGCTTGTGTGATTCATACTCTACATACAGTATTGTAGTATACATGTATACATACATTTATACACATACCAAATGATTTGTGTAGCAATAATAATTAATTTTGGCTAACAAACAAAACTGTAGGTGACAGTGACTAATTTGGAGAATAGAAAGAGACTTGAGCTACACTATGCATGGCAAATTTTTGAGGGCAATAAATTTTCTGATATTTGTGATTCATTGAAAATTAACAGAAAACAATCATTTCATCATGGCAAACAGTGAACTTTAGCATAAATTAAATTAGCAAAATAGACTTTGCGTGAAATTTATAGCCCTTGTAAACTTTGTGCTATACAGTACTTTGCACTAAATAGTACATGTAGTTACAAATTAAAGCTACATGTAGCTACTATTCTACTTAATTTAAATGACTATCTGCAATTACTCACTAGTCACTACAACGAATATGAACTTAGTTTCCTTAATTGAAACCAAAGTCAAATTTTGGAGACTTACCAGGAAATTTAGCACAAGTATCTTGCTCAATATTAAGTCTAGTGAACGCAGCAACATCAGCTACATGTAGCAGAAAATAATTCACATAATGCATGTAGATAAAATTTACTGCCTTACTGCACTGGATTGATACACTGTTGGAGAAGGAGCAACTTGTCACTGAAGTGTTGGGACAATTATTGTGCTCTTTAAAACACAAATCATTTGTTGTACTATACATGTTAGAAGTCCAAAAAGGCAAACTGTCATTTGAATCACTAAAAATAATTTTATACAATAATCATTAATGAACAAATTAGAATCACATACGTTGAAAGATGAAAGAATGAGGATGAATCATATCCCAGTTGCTTGCAGAGAGTGTTGGCATCAGTAGAGTCAAACCCATCACTGCATATTGTCCCCCACTGTCCATTACAATAAACCTCAACACGTCCTTCATTAGAATAATCTCCATCTTGAAGACGTACCATACCAGCATATGGATTACTGTTCCATATCCTTGTGGTATCTGTAATAATACCAATTAATACAGTTTAACAAAAATATTATCTTACAGCAGGATACAGTAGCATCATAACTGTTGCTGTTCACACAACCACTATCAATGTAAGTAGAGTAGGAACATTGAGCAATAGATAAATAGCTGCTACTGGCAAAGTTAACATCATCCCATTTCATAGAAAGATAGTCTGTACCATAACTACAGGCCAAAAAATTTACCAGTATATCACTCAAACTTTTATATATACATGTACCTAGTTAGTTCAGCTCTAGAGGAACTTGAAGCTCCAGTGTATCCCAACTGATGACAAATGACATTAGCTTCATAAAAGTTATAATAGTTGTCATCACAAATGTTGCCCCATCCATTATAATAGACTCTAATTGTTCCATAGTAATAAGAGGTTGAAGACACATTATTACGAGATAGAATAATAGTTCCAGCAGCTGCTTGAGCTAATTAAATTAAACATACAAATACTTTTACTATAATTTCAATGATATGCTCTCACAATTGTATTGTTGGCAAGTTGAAGTAGTTACAGATTGTCTTGTTGAGGTAGACACTTCACCTAGAATAAAGAAATAATGCAAAACAAATAAATTTAAAATAAGTGCTAGTTAACAGAAAAAAATTTCAAAAAAACTAATAAAATTAGCTAGGGGGCAAACCATGAACACATTAAGCATGGTGTGTCTTAGACTTAGCTATTTACCATGTAAAAATTAAAATTTTTAGAGGCTTCATGATAATTAATAAGCAAAGTTTTATTTACAAGTAAGACTTTTTGATTATAAGGGGAACAAGACTTGTTGTACAGCCTGGTTCAGAATATTTGCGTTGCAACTGGAAGTAACACGATGGGTAAACGCAAGAATAGAACTTGGATCTATTCTTGCGTTTATAATTGCATTATACAGCACTTCCGGTAGCAATGCAAATATTCTGAACCCGGATTCAGGGGCAAATGCCTCATGTATTATACAGAGCATTAGATCTAGTAATAAAAATACTACTGCCACTGTGCAAATAATTTTATATTTCTAATATTTACCACATGTGACAGCAATTGCATTTTTACAATTTGACACCAAAGACACTGGACAAGTATCAGTCACAGAAAAGCATACATCAGTGGGTAAATTAGGAACAGAGCGACTCCATACAGTTGAATTACTAGAATTCTCATGCCTACAAAAATGGAGAATTACAACTAAGTAAATATCCCTGGCTTTTATTCAATTTTAGCATACAATGAAAAATTATTAAAACTAAATGATACATCATATCCCAGCTGCTTGCAGATAGTGTTAGCATTATTTGAGTCAAACCCATCACTGCATATTGTCCCCCACTGTCCATTACAATAAACCTCAACACGTCCTTCATTAGAATAATCTCCATCTTGAAGATGTATCATACCAGGGAATAGATTACTGTTCCAGATCCTAGTGGTATCTGTAAAATTGAATCATTGCTAATGTAAAAATAAAATGCAGTCTTACAGCAGTATACAGTAGCATCATAACTGTTAGAGTTAACACAACCATAGTCAATGTAAGTAGAGTAGGAACATTGAGCAATGGACAGGTATGAACTACTACCACAGTTAACATCATCCCACTTCATAAAATAGTAGTCTGTTCCATAACTACATAATAGTCTTTAAAGGCTTGCGTTTAAAGTCAGTTAATGATAAGGCGGGGCCACTCCTTGACATTCGCGTGGTTATCCTCGTGGTCAGTTGTGTTTATTTGAGAATGTCCTAGAGAGAGGGAACTTACAGGAAGTGGGCGTGCCTTTACAAAATTATATATCTAGTATACTGGGGCTTCGCCCCAGTATACTATATACAGATATCAAGTATAAATACGACAATCAGCACTATTTCTACAGCAGGGTCGTGGTGGTGCAGTGGAGAGGCTAGTTCATTTCACTATCCGCAGCTGTGTCAGCAGTCTAACCACAGCCTTCCTACCTCCTCCAACCGCAGTATCATCACTCTCAGACTGGGTGCTTTCCTACTGCTGGCCCTAGGCTTCCCCAGGGATTGGATCTTCTGGTAAGTAGCATGGGCAGATTTGGGGAGGGCATTAATCATATTCATGAGTAGGGTGGCTTATTATTAGTTATTAATCTCATGTATCACGAGTAAGCTTGCTGGGTATCTGCAGTTGGTTGTCATAGCTGGGTAAATATGGGCATGGATTGAGGTTTCACTCAATGTATAATGAATGAGATAGTACTTTACAAGAATATTATTATCTAAACATTGAATATAATTATCTAGCAATGATTATAATTAGACTGCTGATAGGGCAAATGCCTGGCTTTGCCCACCCCCAGATCTGCCACTGGTAAGTAGTACAATTGATTTTTGTAGCAGACTGCTTCTTTATTTTGTACTGCACTTATTCACTCCAGCATTTTGGCTATTGCGCAGTGCCGGTTGCTGTCATTGTGTCTA